ACGCAGTCCGTGACACTTATTTTGCCCTTCTTAGGTATCTCAGACCACAGAAATATAGCTGGATTGTGGGTATAGTCTTTGTCCCAATAGAAAAACTTGCTTTGCCTCTTTTATCAAAACTCCTGCCAGACTTTCTCAGGCTCAGCTGTGTCTGTTCTTTGGGTCAAATTCATTATCAGTGAATTTCTGGGACTGGACTATGGGGGTTTCCTGAAAGGTGTAGTTTTGTACAGTAAAATGGGGAACTATTCTTTTTCAACCTGGGACTATTCATAAAAGTGTTTCAGCCATATAACCACAGAGAGTGCTGAATATACTTTAGGATACGTAAGTTTGCAAACTAGCCCTATACAAATCGCTCCTTGTAGGTGAGCTAGTGCTGTGGCCATAGAAAACGGATTTCTGTGGTTAGCCTTTTCTCCTGACACAGACAGTAAGGGCCGAATCATTTGCTTTCACAAGATGACTTCAGTGGCACAGCTAATACAAGGGCAAGATAAGTGTTGTGGGCTGCGCAGAAGGCATGTTATTATCATTTATTATCAACAATTTATTAAATATATGCAAGTATTTATTGCTCCTTATCTTTAAGTTGCTTAGTACTTTCCGTACTGTCACCAATTTGGCAGAGCACTTCAACAGACATGGAAGAGTTTTACAGAACAACGCCAGATCTGTTCGCCTTAGTTATCTGTTGAAGTACCTCTCAGTAGCTGATTTCTACTCAGACTAGCATTTGTCCGTTTGCATCATTTGTGCACCTTGTGGCTCAGTCTAAAATAATGGCTTGGTGACCCTGTTACGTGCTGTTTCCATACAATCTTTCACGTTTCAGGTATGAACTAGGAGATGCTCTGTACTTAGGCTGGGCTGGATCTGTTCTTTATATGCTTGGAGGGATCTTACTGACCTGTTCATGCAAAGGGAAGAAAAAACAGGATTACAGGTAATCTTGGATTTGTCAGTTGAAATAGTAGCTGTCAGTTATATACCATTTTCTATCTATATACTATTCTCTCTCTCTCTCACCCCCTGGTATAAATCTGTAGCCACATAAAGTGCAAACAGGAACCTGTACCTATCTCTCTCTCACCCCCTGGTATAAATCTGTAGCCACATAAAGTGCAAACAGGAACCTGTACCTATTAATTCAGTGCTGTGGCGTGTCACAGAGTTGTGGTGGCGAGGGATGCCATACCAGATACCTGTACCTCCCAGACAGTGTCCTTGTTGATCCTTTGCCATCAGCGGTCGCTTATAACCAGCCTTTGGTAATTCTGGGTTCTGCTGATGGTTCTAAGATCTACACGATACGTGCAGTGAAACAGCAAACTATCTACTGCCAAAAGAAAAGTATATCAAAGAATATAAGTGCATTATAATCAAGTTTCTCTGCAATACTCACTACTAGTAAAATACTCAAATGCTATTTAATTTGCAGAAAGTCTAATGGCATTTCCTTCCCAAAGCATATCCAACTGATCATTAGGCGCATGCAGTTTTTCTTCTTGCTCCATGGAAACGTCTTGTTGCACATCAAAAAGTTGAGATTTCTGGCTTCAATATTTACCCTTGCCTGGATTTTTTTTTTTTTTCAATCTTAAATGACTCATATGTACAAAAGGTCCCTTTCCAAAGGAGAGGGATGAAATTGCCAGAAATCACAGAGGTCCATGTCTACCCAGAAGCCCCCAGATGGCTTGCAGGCTGTACTGGCTAAATTGAGAGGATGAGAACGTGGAAGGAAGCAGCCTGCTCACTGCTGCTGTGTTTAATCTTAGGATAGTTATGTCAAAACACATAATAAGTGACAGTGTTTCTCTGAGACTCTATTGCCTAATCTGAAGCCATTTAAGTTTTATGGTAATATTTCATCAGCTGCATTGGACTTTCGATCTCACTCACCATACTTTGACACAAAGTGCCAAATATCCTGAAACACCTCGAAAACCAGGTAAAACTGATGTACGAAATAGAAGGTCAACACGACGAGCTCGCTGAAGATATTTCTGTTTTTCTTTCCCATCATCTTCATTCCTGTATTGAAAACCGCAGCTTGCCCAAAAGGGTTGAGGCCCAGGTTCTCTTCTGCTTTAGGGACTTGACCAAAATGCCTCGAGGAAGAGCACAGGTGAGTTAGGAATCCAGAGCGCGTTTCTGGTTACGAGCGAGGTGGCTGCGCTGCCTGTCAAAGAGCCCATCTCTTTCCCCTTTGCTACAAGACCGACGAGAACAGTAGGCCTCTCATTTCTGCGCCTTTGTGAAGTGTGTGCTGCCGGTGGGCTGGACACAGCCCCAAAGGAGCAACTCCTAAGCATCTGGAACTGTGGATGTGTGTGTAATAAATATAATTATTTTTTTATCTCTTTGCTTTCTTCATTTACAGTTGCAAGAAATACGTGTATTCAGCAGGCCAGGCAGCTCACCAGCAGCACATTTACACCAAGAACTCCGAGACAGTCGTAAGCAACAAGGAGTACGTCTAAACTGATCTTTTACACCGCTTGTAACGTTAGTAGGGTATGAACTCAAATAAAGGAGTGAACTATGTCCAGGGTTCTGTTAATTTGCCACGCTACAAGGAGGAGGTACGATTTTCAATGTAAATAGCAATGGTTTTCAAATGTAAATAGGTTTCTACAGAAAAGGCTGTGATGTGAAATCCTGAGGCATGAGGGCCTTCTGCATGCTGAGAAACCTGGTAAAATTTAACCACAGCGCGTGGTGTGTCCTGACAACCAAGAGCAACTTTCCATTGCAGCTGACTCAGAATCGCGGAGCTGATACGCTGTCGCTGACTGCAAGTTAATACACCTCACGGTTAGAAATGTACTGTGTTTTCAGTAATGTTCAGCTCCCTACTTTTGTTTAGCAGCCTTAGCTTTTGACAGGAAAAAATAAACTTTATTCCACAGACTGACTAAAACAGAGTTTTTTGATGCGTGGTATCCTGGCTGTTAATAAGGATACAGTCTAAACAGGGTGGGCTTGAAGTCTCACGTTATACCGAAATTCATATTATGTATGATAGTCAAGATTTATAAAAGCTACAAAAAAATTCCCTAACAACCACTCATCCCCAAATGTGCAACCAATTTTTGCTGGTTGTAATGCAGATACCAGAGATCAATGACACAGAATGAGCCAAACACAGCCGGGAGCGGAGAAAGCGTCTGGTGCGAAAATGCCTTGTGATAGCCAAGAATATGACAGCCCCAATTTTTTATTTTTATTTCTATGTTTTCTGCTTTTACAAAAATCCTGTTTTAACTTTGAGCGATCTTTGACTTTGGGAACTTGCGCCGCATCTGAATTGTCTCCGTCAAGTAATTCCCCGGTGGCTTTATTCTCTGTCATTGTTCCGTCGTGAGAATTTCTGCCTTAGAGGACCCCGCTGCTGGGAGCGCAGGGTTGCCTCGCCGAAGCGCTGAGACAGATGACGACGAGCTCGCTTTACTTCGTATCGCTGCTCGGAGCAACGCGGAGCGGGATTTCACGCTGCGGGTCCACGGGTTTCACAGCTTGTCCCTTTTAAATGCAGCTCGACAAAACACCTTGGCGTCTCTCTCTACTTTTCATGTCTTATGATAACCATAATTGCAGTCTGGTTTAGAAGTTTCGTGCAGCTTCCTTGATATCCCCACGGGTAATTTCACAGGGCAACCTGCAAGCAGTCTTAGCAGAAATGATTTCTCCGTGGCGCTGGCATGCAGATACAGCTGCCGTGCAACCTGACACGTCCCGGCCTGAACTGGGCACTGATCCATCTTGTTCGGCTTCGTAAGCAGAGCTAAAAGGAGCTCGGACTCCTTTCGGATTGCCAGTGTCATCTTCTGCCCTCCACTATGCAATATTGCGCTTACAATCATTCCTTTGGTATTCTGGAGACTAATTTCAGAAGTCGAAAAGATGCTTCACTTGCACACTGGGAGCTGAACTCCTTGCCATCCTCTGTATATTCTGTCCTCTGGAGTTTTAGGTCATTTTGTGATGGTGTTTTTGTCGAGTTAAACGTAAGGAAAAGGCAGAACGCAGGCAGAAACTAAGCAGTTCCAGCATCAGTTTCCATCAAAGGCTGTGTCAGCTCGTGTATCATAGAATCACAGAATCACAGAATAGTAGGGGTTGGAAGGGCCCTCTGTGGGTCATCTAGTCCAACCC